CACAGCGGGCGGAGGGAGGCCCGGGCCGGAATGCGGGAAGGCGTCGCTATCGCCCTGTTCCGGGCCGCCCGCCTCCCCCGCCCGGCCCGGCCCGGCCCGGCCCGGCCCGGCCCGGGCCTGACTGCCCCCTGGCGGCGCGGGCGCCGAACGGGGCGCTCGCACCGAGCTCACGCCCTCGGTTTCCAGGCTTCGTCGTCAACATCTATTGGTGCCAACGGCGTGCCCCGCGCTGGCGAGACGGAGGTGCTAAGAGGCTGTTCCTACCCCGGGGACGTACACAAGAGCGCAAAAAAAAAAAAAAGTGGTAGCGGTGAGGGTACAATCTTCTTCACATCAGCTGTTCCTGATGATGGCTGCTCTTGACATCATCCTTCCTGACTCTGAATAAGCCAGTCTGTGGGGTCAAGAGTTTCTGCTTTCCGAAAGCAACCGGAAACCCAGCTTTGAACAGAGAGATCGACTGAACTTTCAACGACTGTGACTAGCAAAAACTTCTCAGGCCGGAGCCGGCGCCTCACACACTTTGGGAGGCTGGGGTGGCAGGATCGCTTGAGACTAAGAGTTCGAGGCCACCCTGGACAACATAGCAAGACCTCATCTCTACAAAAAAAATTTTTATTTTATTTTTATTTATTTATTTTGAGTCAGAGTCTCACTCTGTCACCCAGGCTGGAGGGCAGTGGCATGCTCACAATCACCCCAGCGTCAACCTGCTGGGCACCGGCGATTCTTCCACTTCAGCCTTCCAAGTTGCCAGAACTGCAGGTGCGCGCTATCATGCCCGGCTATTTAGTTAGTTATTTATTATTATTAATTTTTCCCCCCCACCCTATTTATTTATTGTAGAGACGAGGTCTCGCCAAGTTGTCCGGGCTGTTCTCGAACCTGTGGGCTGACAATCCACTTGCCTCGGCCTCCCAAAGTGCTGGGCTTTCAGGCTGAGCCACCGAGCCTGGTCTATTTTTATTTTTATTTATTTATTTACTTACTTAATTTATTTGAGTTGGAGTCTCGCTCCATCGCCCAGTCTGGAGCCTGGCTAATTTTTAAAAATCCTTTTGGCCAGGCTCGGTGCCTCAAGCCTATAATCCCAGCACTTTGGGAGGCAGAGGTGAGAAGACTGCCTGAGTCCAGGGGTTCAAGACCAGCCTGGGCAACTTGGTGAGACCTTATATCTACAATAAATCAAAAAAATAAGCCAGACATGGTGGCACACACCTGTAGTTCCAGCTACTTGGAAGGCTGAGGCAGAAGAATCACCTGATCCCAGCAGGTCGAAGCTGCAGTGGCTGTGAGCATGCCACTGCACTGGTCTGGGGGACAGAGTGAGACCCCAATTAAAAAAAATTAGCTGGGCCTGGTGGTGCATACTTGCAGGAATTTAAACGGTGATTCTACAATGTTCCTGGGCCAGGCGGCACAGAGGTGAGCTCCTGTAGTCCCAGCTACTCGGGAGGCTGAGGCCGGAAGTATCACTGGAGCCCAGGAGGTTGAGGCAGCAGTGAGCCGTGATCATGCTACTGCACTCCAGCCTGGGGGACAGAGTGAAACCCCAACTCAAAAAAAAATTTTTTTTTCAAATTGCTCAGGAGGGAAGCAAGATGACAAACATCACCTGTTTACAATAGAGCCTGTGGCTGTCAATTTGCAAGCCCTGGTTAATTTCTCTCCCCTGGATGGGGGTTCCAGCAGGTGCATGAATACCCTGAGTTGTAGATAAAACCGTATTTATACAGCTAATGTTCTGGGGCTACAGTTTAACAGTTTATTAGCCATGCACTGAGGCTAGCCAGGAAATGGTGAGACCCATGAACTTTTCTTGCCCTGTCACACAGGCTGTGGTCCAGTGTTGTGATCATGACTCACTGTAACCTTGAACTCTTGGGCTCAAGCGATCCTCCCACCTCAGCCTCCTGAGTAGCTGGGACTACAGGAGCATGCCATTGTGCCGCCTGGTCCAGGAACATTGTAGAATCACCGTTTAAACTCCTGCAACTGTCCACCTCTATCCCTTGCACAGGGAGAGCACACGTCTAGTGAAATATGAATGCATGAAATAGAGAAAAGGTTCCCACGGTTCCACCCTAGAGCAGCTCAGACCAAGAAGGCCCACCTCCTGCCCCAGCATCAGCACACTGACCACAGACTTGGCTGTGACTCTGGGCGACGTGGACAGAAGGCCAGGAAAGACTCTGGGTGTTTCCATTTTCACCTGGGGCTCTCACGGTGAAAATGGAAACACCCAGAGCCTGTTCTTGTTTTGTTTTTGAGTTAGAGCCTCACTGTCACCCAGGCAGGGATGCAGTGGCATGCTCACGGCCACCCCAGTGTTCACCTGCTGGGCTCCGGTGATCCTTCCACCTCAGCCTTCCATAGCCAGAACTACAGGCACGTGCTACCACGCCCAGCTAATTTTTGGTTTATTGTGGAGATGAAGTCTTGCCAAGTTGCCCAGGCGGGTCTCGAACCTGCGGGCTCAGGCAATCCACTCACCTCGGCCTCCCAAAGAGCTAGGGTTGCAGGCTAAGCCACTGAGCCCGGCCTAGAGCCTGTTCTTAATTCCTAGAAGGGGAGCCAGGAACCAAGGATGGCAAGAGTGGACAGAACTGCTTGGGTATAGGTGGGGGGGCGGTGTTGGGGAGGTGGTCTCTAGCTTTCCTGACTTCTTTTTTTGGAGTCAGTCTCGCTCTGTGGCCCAGGCTGGAATGTAGTGGCATGCTCATGGCCACCGCAGCCTCAACCTGCTGGGCTCAGGAGATCCTTCTGCCTCAGCCTTCCAAGAAGCTGGAACTACAGGCGCCCTACCACACCCAGCTAATTTTTTGATTTATTGTAAAGACGAGGTCTTGCCGTGTTGCCCAAGCTGGTCTTGAACCCATGGGCTCAGGCAATTATCTTGCCTCTGCCACACAAAGTGCTGGGATTACAGGCTTAAGCCACTGTGCCTGGCCACTTTCCTGCATATTAAACTCAACTTAGGCCCCCTGCATGCCAAGTAAATCAGAATGGGGGGAGGAAGCTTGACATCAGCTGTTTTTTTTTTTTTTTTTTTGGTCAGGGACTCACTCAGTCACCCAGGCTGGAGTGCAGTGGCAGGATCACGGCTCACTGAAGCCTCAACATCCTGAGCTCAGGTGATCCTCCCACCTCAGTCTCCTGAGTAGCTGGGACTACAGGTGTGTGCCACCACTCCTGGATGATTTTTTTATTTTTAGATACAAGGTCTTGTTATCTTGCCCAGGTTGGTCTCGAATTCCAGGGTTCAAGCAGTCCTCCTGCCCTGGCCTTCCAAAGTGCTAAGATTACAGGCATGAGCCACCATGCCCAGCCAGCATCAGTATTTTTTAAAGCTCCCCAGGTTATCACAATGTGCATCCAAATTTGAGAACCATGAAGTAGATGTAGACCAACAGTTTTCAAAACTGTGGTGCCAAGACCAGCACTCTTAGTGCTGCTTGGGGACTTAATAGAAATGTACCTTTGTTAGGTTGGGCGCTGTGGCTCACGCCGAGGTGAGGACTGCCTGGGCAACTTTGTGAGACCTCATCTCTACAATAAATCAAAAATTAAGCCGGGTTCAGTGGCTCAGCCTGTAATCCCGTGCCTTTAGGAGGCTGAGGTGAGTGGATTGCCTGAGCCCGCGGGTTCGAGACCCACCTGGGCAGCGAGACCTCATCTCTACAATAAATCAAAAAATCAGCTGGGCGTGGTAGTGCATGCCTGTAATTCCGGCTACTCGGAAGGCTGAGGCGGAAGGATCGCTGGAGCCCAGCAGGTCGAGGCTGTGGTGGCCGAGAGCGGCCACTGCACTCCAGTCTGGGCGACCGAGTGAGACTCCAACTCAAAAAAAAAAAAATTAGCCAGGTGTGGTGACGCATGCCTGTAGTTCCAGCTATTAGGAAGGCTGAGGTGGAAGGATTGCCTGAGCCCAGCAGGTCGAGGCTGAAGTGGCCATGAACGTGCCACTGCACTCCAGCCTGGGCGACAGAGTGAGACTCCAACTCAAAAAAAAGAAATGCACCTTGCTCACACCTGTCATCCCAGCACTTTGGGAGGTAGAGGCGAGAGAATTACCTGGGCAACACGGCGAGAACTAGTCTCTACGATAAATCAAAAAATTAGCCAGGCATGGTGACACATGCCTATGGTTCCAGCTACTTGGAAGGCTGAGGCAGAAGGATCACCTGAGCTCAGCAGGTCAGGGTTGTGGTGACTGGGAGTGTGCCACTGCATTCCAGTCTGGGCGACAGAGTGAGACTCCAACTAAAAAAAAAAAAAAGAAAAGAAAAGAAAAACAAGCTGGGCGTGGTCTGTATGACTGTAGTCCCAGTTACTTGGGAGGCTGAGGTGGAAGGATCACCTGAGCCCAAGAGGTTGAGGCCTCAGTGAGCCGTGATCTTTTCACTGCACAGAGGGAGACCCCCGACTAAAAAAAAAAAAAAAAAAATCATGAGTGTGTAGACAGCTCCGAAGCAACAGGGCCCAGGAAATCGAGCTTGTTTCCTTCCTCTCCTGGTACTGCACTGGCACTCCCCACCGGAAACCTCTAGTCTTAAGCAAACTGTGGATTTTACTTAAAGGAGACAGTCTAAAGCCATGGTTAGTCTGAATTGAGAGATGCTACCAGAGCACAATACCGGGCTTCGGAGACTTAGTACCAAAAAGGAAAAAATCTCGTTGATCACTATTACGTGGATTATGCTTCAAAGTAGTATTTTTTTGGTTACAGGGCAAAATAAAAAATATCACTAAAATCAACCTGACCTCACGTTTTACATGTGGTTACTAGAAAACGCGACCTTCCATAAGTGACTTGCGCTTCGTAGCTCACTTTATATTTCGGACGGACCGGGCTAGGCTAAAGCATCACACAGCCACGGGAAAACTCACGCGGGGCTACTTCAAACCAGGAACGGGGAGCTCCAGAATTCCCCTGGACTCACTCAGACCAGGGCTGTGGACTTAAAAAAAAAAAAAAAAACACCAAAAAAAACTTGGGCCCAGCCAGAAATTGTAGCCAGAAACCCCCGTGGAGGAGCAAAGGCTTCGGCCCCGCGTCTGGGCTTACCGTCTGCAAACTGAGGCTCAAGAGAACACGAGGGGCTGGGACTCCTCGGGGAGCGCTTTGCTCAGAAGCACAAGGGCAGGGCTCCGGGGGTCTCCTCGGACGGTGAACCAGCAAGGGGGTAACTCACAGCTGAGCGCCACCGCAGCCAGGAGGGACCCTCTCCCCTGGCGAGGGGCTGGCCGCGATCCCAAGGGCACGGTTCGGGTCAGGTGGGCTCACCTTTCTCAGCCCAGGGGCTCCTCTCCCGTCCAAGGATGGGGAGAGGCTTAGCGGCCCCAAGCCGGGGTGCCTCAGAACTCCTCCACCCCGCCTGCGTCCCGGACACCCAGAGAAGGACAGCGACCTGCCCGGCTCCAAGTCCCAAAAGCTAGAAGAGGAAAAAGAAAGTCCGACTCGACCCTTCGGAAAGGAATGAGGCTGCGTTCCTGGGGCCTGTCGGGAAATGTGGTCTTTGACGCCAGAAAGCAATAGCTTCCGGGTCAAAAGCTGGGTGGGCGTGACTCTAAGCCTCTTCCTCCAGTGGGTGTTGAATTTCCCCGCTACCCGAAACTTGCGGTTTTCTGGCTTCCGGTTGTCGAAAGGAGCCGGGGCTTCCCTTTTTGCTTCATGGGTGCCTCTGCGCATGCGCCGCGCTCCCGGGCGCCTACCGACGGGCCGTGGTGGGGCGGCCGAAGACTACGTTTCCCAGCGGGCCGCGCGAGCGGGCGGGGCCTGTCCGCCCCAAGGGGTGGGGCGCGGCGCTCGGAGCGACTCTGAGCCTGTGACCTCTTTCTTTCTTTTATTTAACACAAAACTGGCGTGTCCTCGCTCAGGGCCCCGCGGCCGGGCCGGACTCAGGACGGGCGGGTCGGCTCGGCCTGGCTGCGCCGGGAGCACGAGGGAGCCCTTCCTAGGCCCCTCTTCTGGAGTTGGGAACTGTCAAGCGCCAGCCCCCGCCCTCCTGCCCGGGTTCAAGACCCCTGCGCGGCCCACACCCCGGGGACGGCCGCGCTCGGGGGCCGGGCCGGGCCTGTCGGGCCCGTGAGGATCTGCACCAGCAGGTCGGTGGCCAGCATGGGCGACGGCTCCTCGAAGCCGATGGTCAGGAGCTGCTGGTAGTCCCCAGGCGGCTGCGGGCACAGAATCCTGGGGGCCGGGGACAGACAGGCCTGGGCTTGCGTGCCCCCTGCCCCTCGGGAGCCCCTCCCCTTGAGCGAGAGGCTTGGCTGAAAGAGGCTTTTGTTTCAGCCGGGGGTGGGAAAAACCCCGGGGGAATGCTGCTTCCTTGTTGATAAGCTGAGCGGTGGCTCCCCCAAGGCTGAATAGCTGGCCCTGGCCTGTCCAATCACACTGCTGGCTGTGTGTCCTTGGGCAGGTAACTAAACCTCTCTGAGCACCTGTTTTCTTTGGTGGAATGGGGCCCCACGGTATAGACCTCAATGGGCAGAAAGTGCTTTTCAGGACACAATAAAATGGCTTTTGTAACCAAGGGCAGCAAAGGTCTTCTGTAGGGTTCTGCCCCTTCCCGTGCCCCTGCCCCCAAAGCCCAAGTCCACCTCGCCATTGTCCTAGCTCCTACCAAGAGTAAAGGTCATCGTCGGCCGGTCCTAGGGGTACCCATCGGCCGATGGACCACAGCTTCTGGATCTGGGGGCACGAATTGGCTGGACTCTGGCCCGTGTCTTCCCAAGTATCTCGATAGCACAGGAAGTAGCTGGGAGGGAGGGAGCAACAATTAGGAGTGGCCAGTTTCTAGGTTCTTCTGTTGTGGGCTTTCATTTTGGAGGTGAGGTAGTAACGCATCAGAAGTTGCCCTGAAGTTCTGAGGTAGGATCTTTTCACCCTGTCAGCCTACTTTTAAGATGGGGACTTTTATTTTGATGGGAGGGTGCAGCGAAAAAAAAAGGTAGCCTTTTGTTTTTGTTTTTGTTTTGAGTTGGAGTCTCACTCTGTCGCCCAGACTGGAGTGCAGTGGCTGCTCCCGGCCACCACAGCCTCCACAGCCTCGACCTGCTGGGCTCTGGCGATCCTTCCGCCTCAGCCTTCCAAGTAGCCGGAATTACAGGCATGCACTACCACGCCCGGCTGATATCTTGATTTATTGTAGAGATGAGGTCTTGCTGCCCAGGCGGGTCTCGAACCCGCGGGCTCAGGCAATCCACTCACCTCGGCCTACCAAAGCACAGGATTACAGGCTGAGCCACCGAGCCCAGCTTGCCTTTTCCTTTTTTTTAGAGACAGGGTCTCACTCTGTCACCTAGGCTAGACTGCAGTGCCATGATCCTGGCTTACCACAGCCTCAACCTCCTGGGCTCAAGTGATCCTGCCTCAGCCTCCCAAGTAGCTACAGGCACACACCACCATACCTGGCTAATTAAAAAAAAAAAAAAAAAAAAACTTGTAGCGATGAAGTCTCATTATATTGGCCCAAGCTGGTCTTGAACTCCTGGGCTCAAGCGATTCTTCCACCTCGGCCTACCAAAGCACCAGATTACAGCCATGGTTTCCTGGTTCCCCTTTCACACTTTGGTTTTGGCGTCTGGAGGCCTGTATAGGCATTCATCACAGAGAGAGGGGAGGACTTTGATTTTTTTTTTTTTTTTTTT